TCTAGCGCCGCCTCCACGTGGGCCCAGGCCAGGTCCTCGGCCTTCTTGCGCCCTGCAAGCGCCTCCTCGGAGCCCTCGGCGACCCCTCTGGGCTTGCGCCTGTGCCAGATCGTCTTGCGGGTCGCGCCGTCGTTGCACACCTGCGGCTGCCGGTAGGAGACGGTGAAGTTCTCGCCCCGGTCGTCGCACACGTACGTGCCCCTGTAAGGAAGGACTCGAGGATCACGGGGGAGCCTCGGGTCAACTGCTGGAGCTCCCTGAGCCGCTGCCTCGGCTGGTAGAAAGCTAACCAAAGCGTGTCGCGGGTATGAGCCGTCCCACGCATGAGCGTCGATGAACTTAGGGCGCACCTCGAGCTCGCCCATCTCGAAGTCCACGGTAGAAGACACCAACCTGCACAACGTCGCTGCAACACAAGGGTCGCCGTCAGCATAAGCAAGAACTGAAGACTGGAGCCCAGCGAAAGAATCCAGCTCTGAGTCGGAGTACTCCAAATCCCCGCCGTCGGTGCCCACCTGATCCAGGGAAGACGGCCAAGTCACGTGGTCGTCGGAATCCCCCAGGCTCGCGTCCTCGGCCTGTTGGTCAGGTGCTATAGTGGCAGCGCCTCGCGTCATCGGGCCTGGCGCGCCAACATGGCACTTCGATCTTGTCGGAGAAGGGGAAGTAGAAGGAGCCGCCATCGGGTCAGTGGCGGTGGCCTTTGGGGCCTGCGTCTGGTCCTCGACGCTATTGGTGGCGCTCCTCGCCTGCACCTGGTCCTCGGTGCTCGTCACAGCGGCGGTCCTAGCCGGCGCCTGGTCCTCGGCGCTCTTGAAGCTGGCGGTCCTCGCCTGCGTCTGGTCCTCGACGCGCTTCTTGGTGGTGGCGGTCCTCGCCGGCGCCTGGTCCTCGGCGTGCTTCTTGGTCTCCTTCTGGCAGTCCTTGCCATCAATCTCCTCAAGGAAGCGATCCATCTGGGCCTGTTCCTCAGCCGTGGACGGAGCGGTGAACATCCACTCGATGACGCGACGAACGGGCCCACCTGGCACTCGAAGAGCATGGAGAACATCCCGGTCCTCGGGATTGCGACTGGGAGCGTCGCCCAATATTTTATCTTCACCACGTAGCCAAACACGTGCAACTCGCGAGCCCAGGTCTTCTAAGTCCAAGGCCCAGCGCAGCAACTTCTTGGAGATGCGCTTGTGGGCGAACAGCGAGTCGGTGAAGATGTTGTTGCGGTGGTCGGTGTAGGCGATGACGACAAAGCCCTTGGTCAGGTGGTGCGTGGCCGAAAGCGCCCCACGTAGACCGCGCAACTCGGGCTCGAAGGTGCCCCAGCCCTGCTCGGAAGCGTTGAAGCCCCGGCCGACGACGGCAACTGGACGCAAAGGCCCATCCTTCTCGCGCCTCTGAGCCAGGGTAGCCGCCCACGCGATGGCGTCCACGTGCAGCTCGAACGGACGGCCAGACTGAGGGTCAGCCGCGGCCGCGTAGTCCAAAGTTGCGAGTCCAACCTCGCGGGCCAAGGAGCGCTTCAGCTTCACGAAAGCCTGCTGGGCGTCCTGGTCCTTCTCGTAGTCTACGAACTTCGCGCCCTCCTTCATGTAGCGCTTCAGCGGAACCTCGATGGACGAAAAATTCGGGATGAACTCGCGCGCGAAGTTGCAGTACGCGCGGAAGCTGACAAGGTCGTCGATGCTCTTGGGGTTCGGCCACTTCTCGATCTTCTCTGCCTTGCCTGGGTCCACGTAGCGAAGGCCTCGACCGAGCTTGAAGCCCAAGAGGTGAATGAACTCGTGCGCGAACTTGCTCTTCGCCAGCTTGAACTGAATATTCTTCTCGCGGGCGGCCGAGAGGAAGCGGACGCAATGCTCGATGTGCATGTCCACCACGTCGTCGTCGGTGTCGTTGTCGTAGGCCTCGGTAGACAACGCGCAGTCATCCATGAACACCGAGTGGAACTCCTCGTCGCTGGGCCCGCGCACATCGCCGAACGTCCAGTCCATGAGCTTCTGGAAGATCACGGGGCCCTGCTTCGCGCCAAAGAAGAGCACGAGCGGGCGCAGCATCCCGCGCTTCGTGACCAGCGCGAAGACCCGAAGACCCGCTGAGCCTCTGGAGCAAGCTCTATCTGGGTGAAGCCCCAGATGCAATCGAGCTGCGTGTGCAAGGCACCGTACTGGGCACGCTGCAAGCATTCGTCAGCTCGAGAACTCGGCCACGCCTCCTCCTCAGTGCAGCTGTTCGGGTAGCGGTAGTCTCTCACTGGTCTGCCCAGCAAGCAAGCCTTTGTTGCCCTGGTCGACTACGAACGATGGCGAGCCCCACTCCGACCGCTCGCCAGGAAGAAGCCAACGAGCTTTGACCTCTTCCACTTCAACGTCCTCGCGGTAGCGAAGACGCAGGTCGTCGAACTCGCTCAGGGGGAACGGCTGCGTCACCTTGGGAGTCGCATCAGCACGAAGCTTGATGTCGGCCACGAATGCCTCGACGCGCGGCGGGTTGCAGCCAGGCAGCCACAGGCAAGCAGCGAAGACCCGTACGACCTTCGTCAGGAACCGCTGGCGCTGCTTCCACGTGGGCTGGGGGCCCAAGAGCGGCGCTGCCTGCTTCCCGGCCTCTCCTTGTGCGCTGGCGGCTCCTGGTCAGGCCACTGCACCTCAGCCTTGCGCATCTTCCTATCCTCCTCGATCTCTTTCACGAGGTCAAGGAAGAACTCCTCGTGGCGGGCCTTCTTCCCGCGCGTTTTGTAGGACGCCAAGAAAAACTCTGCCACCGTGGAACCAGATTCAGGGTCTGTCCGACCTGTGCTGGTAGGTTGCCCTTCGTAGTCCCGGTAAGCCTGGTGCCGAGCCTGGTGCATCTGGTAGATCGCGGCAGCGCGCCTGGACTCCTCCGTGCCAAGTGCCGCCAGTCCCTCGACGTCGTGCTGCGTTGCCTCGCGAGCACGAAGTAGGCGCAGCCCAGGTCCAAGATGAACGCGCTCATGTGAATTCAGATCCACATTGAACATGCCGCTCTTGACCACCATGGGGCCCTCGATCGCCTGGATGCCATCAGAGAGATCAGGTCCTGGCTCCATCCAAAAGCTGCTTTGACCTTGCCTCTGGAGGCGCACGCATCGCGACAGTCTTGACGATGCTCTGGCCAGGGGGCGTCTCCAAAACCTTGTGGTCCGAGACGCGCAGAAAGGTGTGCGTGGCGGGGTCGTCGTTCTCGCCTGGGAGGACCGTCGGAAATCAAACTCCGAGCGAACGTAGCTCGATCTGGTCCTTGTCCGAGACAAAGCCGCACCGGTCTAAGGTAGGCTTCCCAATCAGCAGGTCCTCCGTGCAGTCCTTCACGACAAAGAACCCAATCAAAATCGCCTCGGCCTTCGCCGCGCCATCCTCGCGGAAACTGACCTCCAACGTCGCCGGCCCGTTGACAGTCACCGTCTGGCCCTTCTCAAACGACTTGCAGATGATCGGCTGGGTCTGCTCCACGTCCTTGACGAAGTCGGCCGTCTTCGGCCCCCTGAGTAGCGCCTCCAAGAAGCCGCGGTCGATGGAGTTCCGAGTCGCACCAGCGTCGAAGACAGTCTCGGTGCGAGCGGGCCCGATCCAAGTAAAGCCTCTGCAGTTGTAGCCGCCAGAGACAGTCAACACGCACTGCGATGACTGGTTCAGCGCGCCAACCTTGCGCGCGAACTCGCGATTGACAGCGGTGGCCATCAATGGAGAATTTGAATTATGCACGCGGGCTTCGAGCCAGAAGGCGACGATGCCCACCGCGGCTGACAGCGCAAGGAAGCCCATCAGAAACATGTTGAATTTGAAGAGGTAGTGCCGCACCTGGCTCACTATGCGCACCAGCCAGCCGCGCGCCGGCGGCGGCTTCCACAAGTCGGAGGCGAACTCGTGGTACTCGTCCAGGTTGATCCGCGACCCCCCAGGCTTTGCCTCGCCCGAAGTCTCGCCATCGGCGTCCATCACCATGAGGGGCGCGAGCAGCTTGGCAGCGCGCTCCTGCTGGTCGGCGACGTGACTGCCGTCGAAGTTGAGCATGCGGGCATGGCCGTCGCCGCGGCCTCCTTTCGGATTGCCCCTGCCCCCGCGGCCCTTGCCAGGGCCTTTCTCCTCCTTCTTCTTGAGAAACTCCTCGGCTTCCTTCGCGTCCTTCTCTGTGTGGCAGAGCGCGCGGTGGCGACCGAAGTGCCCGAGGCCGCCGCGCGGCTTCCCCTTGCCCTGGTGCTTATACCAGCACGGGATGCCGTCCTTGACGCACTTCGAGACGTCGAAGCCCTGCCCCCCGCCGGCCTTCTGGTTCGGGCAGAGGGAGCATTCAGGGTGAGTCCTCTTGCACCGGCTGCAGTCGCCAGTGCCTGCTCGCAAGCCTTTGTCGCCTTTGGGCGCCCCTTTGGCGGGCTCCCGCGCGGCCTGCCAGCGAGCGTCTAGCTGCAGGGCCGTCGGCGTCGGCGGCGGCGGCCCCCCTGCCGAAGAGCCTGCGGCAGAAATGGACTCGATGATCTGCTTGGCCTTGGCGAACTTCTCCTGCTCTAGCATCTTGGCCTCCTTCTTTGCTGCAGCCTTCGCCTTCGGATCCTTGGGGTCTGCCATGGCAAGGGTCGGCGTCAATAACTGACCCGGCTTGGCATCGGTAGCCCCAAGACCCACTCGCGCCCGGGCGCGCGCGAACTGCTAGCAGCGGCCAATAATCGCCATCCCAGAGTCCTCGTCGCCCCTGATGGCCATTCTCTTCGGGAGCGTCGGAAGGTCCAAGAGGTAGGTGATCAGCGCGGAGCCCTCGATCTTCGTCTTGAACTCCTCGATCTCCCTCATCAGCATTGGACTCTCAGAGTCGTCAGTGAGCAGCCCGCGATTGATCATGTCGGTGCGGACGACGGTGCGCTCGTTCAAGAACTTGGCGACCGCGTCGATGCTGGCGCCCTTGGCGAGCGAGAGCCTGGAATACTTCCGCACCGCCTCGTTCGCCTCGCGCTCGTCGTCCAAGCGCACCGCGACCTTCACGCGCCGGACGTGCTTGATCCAGATCGCCTCCCACCTGGGGTTGGAGCGCTCCTTCAGCAGTGCCTGGCACGCGTCCTCGCCGCCCACCTCGGTCACGATCGAGTCCTCCATCTCGATCTTCGCCGTGCCCTCTGCAATCGCCCGAGCGCCCTCAATCCAAATAGCCTTGCTCGCCTGGCGCGACTCGTTCTGGTAGATCTTGAACTTCTCGAGCTGCACCTTCAAGGTCGCGGCGTCGGACGCTGTCAGGACTGGCTTCGCCGGCTTCAGCTTCGAGGCCGACTCCCGCTGGGCCTCCGCCAAGTTCTCCTGAGCGCGCGCAAGCCCGGCCAGCAGCGCGCGCTGCTCCTCGGCGCCTGCCCGCTGCTGCTCGGCCATCTGCTCCATGAGCGCTAGCATCGCCCCAGCGACGCCTGCGGCGGCGAACTCGACAAAGCAGCCAGACGTGCCGGAAGGCCTGGCGGCGGCAGATGATACGCAGGTCCGTGGCTCGCGAAATCCAAACCCTCGTCCTCGTCCTCCGCGCCAAGCTGCACGTCGCCTTGAACCTCGGCGGACTGCAGCTGGAACAGCTCCTGGGCAGCCTCCGCTAGCGCGGCCTTCTCCGCCCGCAACTCCCTGGCCTCCGTCTGAACCTCGGCGATCTCGTCCAAGTAGCGATCCCGCTCGGTGTGATGGAGCGCCTGGCTGGCGAAGAAGTTGACCCTGGCCGAATCAGCGCCGCGCTGGTACTCGATCTTCGCATGTTGAGCAGCGGCCACTCTGGCGTCTGCATCGGCCAGAGCTGCTGCAACTTGCCTGGCCGCATCGGCCTCGGCCGCCTCGCATCGGACAGCAGCCTCACGAAGCTCTCCACGAAGACCACCGCCATGCGCTTGGGCCCGAATCGCCAGTCTGCGGAGAGCCAACTCAGCAATATCGGACACTTCCTGCAACTTCAGATTGAGCTGCTGGGCCTCCTCGCGAAGCTGGGCGTGGTCCTCGGCGTTGCGCCCTCGCTGATGCCGGACCTCTGCGTCGGCCTGCTGCCGCTCATCATGCAGCCAATCGCGGGCACCATGCAACTCAGCGGCCTCGCCTCGAAGTGCTTCCTCAGTTTCACCAGCCCTGACTTCGAGAGAAGCCTCAGCTGCTGCTATGACCGACTCAGCAACGCGGACCTCGCCGACTGTGGCAAGTGCGGCATCGCGCTCGACCACGTACTCGTTGAGCTCTGCCTGGATGTGGACAGTCGCCTCATGCCGAGCATCGGCGATGCGTTGCTGGTACTCCTGCTGCTCGGCGTGCAAGAACTGTCGGGCGCGAGCGAAGTCCTCGTCGACGCTCTCGCGGTAAGCCTCGACTTCGGCCTCGGAAGCGCGCAATCGAAGACCCACAGTTGCAAGTTCACTCCGAACCTCCTGCTGGGCCAAGCTGCCAACATAGGCGGAAATCTGATTCTCCAGCGCAGGGTCATTCCTGCGCTCACGCCCAATCTCCACGATGCGCCTTTCGATGGTCTGGACCTCGAGCAAGACCCTCGAGTGCTCGACGCGTGCTGTCCCAGCGCTATAAGCCGCTGGCCGAGAGTGGGACGATGAGCTTCGGCGAGAACTCGATTCTGCACGGCCTGCGTTCGTCCCCCGGCTCGGTGATAGGGCTCCACTGATGCTCTGGATCGTCGAAGGGACTGCCGTCAGCGCCAGCGGCGGTCGCGCCGCCGGCATCCACGATTCTCTGTTCGGGTTCATTCCTCTGGAGAGAACTCGCAGGGGCGACCTGGTGCTCCTCCACGTCGCACGGCAAGTCCTCCCCAGTGTCCACCAGAATTGAGCGAATGTTCTGCTTCAGCCAACTCTAGGTGCCTTACCACAGCCAAGTGGGAAACCGGGTAAAGGTTCACGAATCGAGGATTCGGCGGCAGATTCCACAACACAGCACGCAACCACGAATCCAAGCTCTCAGACACAACACGCTCGTGACGATCGGCGGCACTGTCGATGGTACCGGTCCTTCGTTTTCCCATACGCTAACGAGGGACACAATGCCGACGTTTCGGTCGGACTTGAGCCACAAGTGAAACAGTACAAACTGTACAGGGTCTGAGGTGAGGCTGGTCACGCTGCCGTGCCCAGTCTCACCCGAGCGCCCTGGAGACGATGCCCGTTGCCAGGCAGAGCGTCTCAGGTTCTAGAAAAACCGCTCTCAAAATATGCATGTGGAGACCCTTCAGAAATGATATCCGAAAAAAGGTTCCCAAGGCCGCAAACATGCTGTAGGAGGGCCCAGGACCTCTAAACACGGGGAATTCCACAGGGCCCAGGACCTCTGAACACAGGTTCTAGGAAAACCGCCTCTCTGACGCCCCTGGTTTGCCCAAGGAACGGGGAGGACTGGCTCAGGGGAGGGGGGCAAATTGACTTGGAATTCGGCGATGCACCGCCGACAGATTGGCGGTAGGTCCTCGATAGCAAATCCGAATGCTCCCGGTCCCCCATGGGCCACGAGTGGGTCTGAATGTTTCAATCCGCGGCCCCGGATTTTTTTGATGGCCCCCGAACCCGATAACGGGCCCCGGAGGCCGGATTGAATACAATCACATCCTCGGATCAGCGGGGGCGTGTGAGGCATTCGGTTGTCCCCCTCGCCTTTTTCCGCGTCCCCCCAATGCCGACAATCCGATTCGAGGGGGGGGTCGCCGGTGGTGGATCTCCGGGCTCCCCGACGCACTCGGTCCTGGGGCCTCCGGAGCCTCTAAATCTGCCCTCCGAGGCCTTCCAGATGCCCAATGTCCTATTATAGCTTGCGAAGGCTGTGCCCCAACACGACGAGGCGTCAAGAACACCCAAGACAGCATCATGACGGCACAACAAGCCTCCAAGAAGCCTCAAGAGAGCTGCAAGAGAACCACCACGAGGGCCCCAAGAGGCCATAATCTTCTCAATCCCCGCAAGGAAAGCTGTTACTATTTCATGGTATTCGCAATGTTGGCTCCAACGGCGATCAAAGCGGCCCAAGAGGCCTCAAACATCGCACCAACACGGCCCAAACGACCCCCCAAAAGAGGCCCAAGACGGCCGTCGGCATCATCACCACCGTTGTCATTACCATTGTCGTCGTCATCGTCGTTGCCGTCACCCTCGTAATCATCGCCATCAACATCAGCATCATCATCATTACCGACATCAACATCAGCATCATCATCAGCATCATCACCAGCATAATCATCTGCATCATCAGCAGCCTCAGCCTCAGCCTCACCCTCACCCTCAGCATCATCATCTTCACCAACATCATCATCATCAACATCATCATCATGATATGTTGTTTCTTGCTGGGGCGGGGAATCCTTCTGTTCGACGGGCCCAGGTAAAAAAAACGGAGAACCCATCCTAAAGCTGGCCAGCCCCACCCAAAGTAGATGGGTGAGTTGGAAAAGACAAAACTGATCTGAGCAAGCGAAGCGCGAGAGGAGAAAGAAGCTGGGGGTTGTCGGGGGATGGACGGTGGGTGCAGGACGAGCTTGAGCATACACGTTTACGATCAAGCAATCGCGAAGGTGTTGGCAACGCCAGAAACGCAAGAAAACCAATCATTATCGCGCACGCACAAACATGATCTCATTTTCTGTCTGTTCGACGGCGTTATGCTGCGGGCCGATGGGCTCAGGTGAAAGACGGAGAACCCATCTTAAAGCTGGCCAGCTCCACCCAAACCCAAAATATTTGACCTGCGTAAGCGGTCATAACGAAGTTGGTTGTCAAACGCCGAAGCCAGGAAGTCCGCGAACTCTTTGGGATAGGCTTGCGCGATCAACGTACGCCAGGGCCCGCCAGGGACCTTCCCAGACAGCCCGACATGGCGCTTCTTGGAGCGGCTGCAAACACAACCTCGAGCATGAAAACGTCGGGCGCCAACTTCGGTCAGAGGCTTGTCGGAAAAAAAAAAAACAAAAAAAAAAACACGGCGGTCGGTTTCTTCCATGGGCACCCCACTGGCACAGATCGGTAATCATCAGGTGGCTATTCCTATTGGATGTTAGGTGGACAATCTCTGGCAACTTCCAGAACAAACTGGTCTGCGGGTTCTCGACAGCAAACGGGATCTTGCGAGACCAGCAGCTTCGCATCACCCGCAACGTGGCTTTCGTCACCAAATTCGCCTGCATCAACTGAGGGTGCCCTGCGGCCGCGGGAATTCCCTAAGGACAGCCTGCCAAACGCAGGGCAAGGTGACGGGCTATGCTGAAAGTCGTGCATGGTGGAGCCAACATCACGCCATCAAAAGAGTTGTGCCGAATTGTGCGTAGCAGGTGATTCAGGCTGGTCCGTTTTTGATTCAAAAATCTCTGCGTTGTGCCCGAGCTTCAAGAAAGCCTTGGACACGCGATCCACGCCAGCTGACAGATCAAGCATCACCAGGGGCCTCTCACTACCCTGCTGAACACCAGTTCCAAGTTTGCTTCGCACCACTGCATTTTCCGTCGTACGTCCGACCGCATCTTGAGAAAACCCTTGGATACCTTGCCGGCCTTCCCGTACCGGGCGACGCTACGGCGGGGCCTCCAACGTCCACTTTTCTGCACCTCGTTGAGAGACCTTCGACCCGCCGCGACGTCCCACGACGCCCCTTGCGTGCCTCATGGAGTAGGGCACCAGGTCGTCGATGTCGAGGGCCTCGGCCGCGTGGCGGATCTCTCTGGCCAGGTCGCTGTAGTCGAAGGTCCACACTTTCGTCTCCTTCGCCGCTCGCCACTTCTCGAAGTAGCGGGTCGCCCACTGTAGCTCGGGCACGCCCCGCCGAACCGAGTCGTCGAAGTCCGTGGTCTTGGCGGGGATGTTGAGCTCCCTCGGTCGGATCAGGCCTGACCAGGTCGGGGAGCCCCGCCCTGTTGGACGGAAGAAATCCATCCCTCTCAGCGCCGGGCCCCCCCAGGCCGCAGGTGCAGGCTGTTGGTCGCGATGCACCAGAGCCCCATCATAGGGGGCCCCCCGCCAGCCCGCGCACCGCCGCCCACGCGCGGGGAGGCCGAGAGTGGCTTGGGCAGAGCCTCTGCCATCCCACGAGGGCGCGCCGCGCTCGCGGCAGCTGCCGCTGGCCGCGCCGCCCCAGCGCGGCGAGAAGGCCTCCAGCGCCGCCGGCAGATAGCTCCCGCGATGACTGGCAGCCCCCTCCAAGAACATCTCCTCCAGGCGGGCGACCACCAGGGCGTCGAGGTCCTTGTCGTTCAGCTCGTTCCACTTCTGGATCCCGACGTGGCTCTGGAAGTCTCTCACGTGCTCCGCGCATCGCCTGTAGGTGCCTTCGGTCACGGCACCTCTCACCGGGAAGCTCCTGTCGGACTCGAGGTCCGCGGCGAAGCACATCTGCCAGCGGCCCAGCTCGGCTGCGCGCGCCCTCCGCGCCTCCGCCGTCTGCCCAGAGCTCCCCGGTTGGCCCGCCGTCTTTGTCAACAGGGGCGCCGAGGCCAGGCGGCGGTCCGACAGCACCGCGCTCGGCCGCGCCACAGGCCCTCGGCCCGCCCGCAGCGCGCTCTCCAGCGGCTTCACCAGGGCGAGGGAGCTCGCCGTCAGACGCCATGTTTCTCTGCAACTTTCGGCTCTCGAAGACCCGGCTGGCCGCGTCAGCGGGGTTGAGCTCCGAAGGGATCTAGCGATCAACCGCGACGAGCCGGCGGCCCAGCTGGAGGGCGCATCGCCTCCGGCACAACGTGAGCAGCTGCCGGCTGGATGCCCGACCTTTTGAGTGAGCCAAAGTGGTACTGAGGTTATCGCCCAGAAGAGGATCCCGAGTCGCACGCCCCGAGCGAGCCTTGCAGAAACGTCTCAGGCACCACGGGGACGCACGGCACTCCTTCACATGAATCGGATCTAGCCTCCGAAAAGGCCCACTATAGATATGCTCCCAGACAGACTTCTGAATCCACGCTTTCGGCACGTCCGGGAAACCTGGACCCTCCTCCCAGAGCTCGCAGCCCGAGGTGGTGGCCCCGATCGCCGTGATAGGCCCCGAGAAGGGGTCCCAGACAGCCAGCCCCAGGGCCCGATCGCGATGCCTCCCCAGACCTGCGCATCTGAATCTGAAACGCCCCGCCAGCCCCCCCACCTGTTGCACCTGCGCCTCCTTCCACTCCGTCTGCGCCACCCCCATGCCACTGGCGCACGCATGGTAAGCGAAGACTTGAGGGCTCCAGGGCAGGCGAAGTTCAGCCACACACACACACAAAGCAACATACGGTAGGCGGCCTCCAGCTCAGCAAACACACTCGGCAACAAGGTCCGTCCATACTGATAGTTATCACGGATGAAGCGATAAGTAGCGCCGAAGACTGACAACAGCGGGCGGCGCGTCAAGAAGGCGAAGGTGAGGTGACCCACAAGCATTTCCAACTGTGCACCGCTCAATCTCCTCCTGCTCAGAGCCCACTGGAGAGCTCCGCGCAGACGACTAGACCGTCTTTCACTTAAACGTATTACCGGGTGGCTCCACATGTGCGGAAAAGGCGCATGCCCAGAAAACCGCGCACATTAGTTATCACG